CTGGTGAAAATTTCATGTCATTAGCACCTCTAGTAATATATTTACTGAGAAAAATGGTGACGTGTTCAATACTTATTTTACCCGCTGTATTATTGTCTGCCTGACCAAAAACATTTTCTCTGTTCCCAAACAACTGATTACAGATTCGGCTCTCCCCTATGTGGCCTTGAAGAACTGTGGATCTAAATTCTCATGGGTGTTTAAGTCGACTTGTGGCTTGGCCCCCACCTTCCCCCCTCTCACTCCCATGTGTAATCTGATCCCATGAAGGTCAATCTGGAGCTGCACAGAATGAACAACAATTAACACCACTATTGTGAACTTTGGCTGAACTGTGTTGTTTTTTTTTTTGGTTGGGGTGGGGGGACTAGATCAAGGGCGCCCGGTCTATCCTCGGCTGGTTCCCGGTAGAGTACAGAGAATTGTAGAACGCAACATTGTTTGTTTAACATTGCAGCCTTGAACCCCCCCCCCCGTAGACGTGACCAGGTTTCATTCTCAGTCTTGCGAGTTTTGGGTGTGGTGACACAGCACTCCGAACATGATCTCGCTAGACTTTAGGGTCACGTGTTCAAAGCAAGCAGGGAGGTGGAAAAAATGAACTAAAAACGAGCTAACAAGCAAACGAAAACTTATTATTTTCACCTGGAGTGGGAAGAGGRCTCATATGTAATTCGAGCGCTGCCTCGGYTTGTCCAAAAAGGATAATGTGGAACTGCATTTCTTTCAAAACAATGCACAGACGCTGCGAGGYGGATTTCCCCTCCTAAACCRAGCTCAGAAAGTTCCGGAGCTGAAAAACAAGCTTTGCAGCACAGCATCGATTTTCACTCGCTCCAACACCAAAGCCAAGGTAAGGCTGCTAATGCAGCCGCGTCCTGGCTCAACACAAAACGTCTTTCAGCGATGACGAAGTTATGAAAGAAGTGTTTGATGCTGCAGACATGCTTTTCCGAGATTTTAAAAATAAAAGTGAGATTGTGAGATTGTGTGGTTCTGGAGTCTGCTGTCAGAGGAAATGTATCCYACCATCAGAAGATGTGCTTTGAACTTGACAGCACGTTTTGGATCTACCTGTGTGAGTCAGCTTTCTCTCACATGAAAATCATCAAGTCCAAGAACAGATCCACAAAGATGATCATCTGGAGACCTGCCTGCGCCTCTCATCCACCTCATTCTGCCCGCCTATGAGACCCTGGCCTCCTTCTCTCAGTGTCAGAAGTCCCACTAAGGTAGAGACACACAGGTATTTTTATACAGCTTGCATAAGAAGTTGTCTCCTCTAGACTTGTCACAATGTGTCTGTCATCTTTCCTTTTTGATAAATCCTATAGTTAGGCTTAGGTTTCCTGACTTATTTCTTAGTTATTATAGTTAATTAGTTCTGCTGCTATAAGCTTAGACTGCCAGAGGACAAACTGACCACATGTCCTCACTCTGCTATTATCTTTAGTCTCYCTCCTCTACATGTTTGTTATAATTACTTCTATCAATAACAAGTTTTCTTTGTCTCTCTWCCAGAGGAAAATACACCTGGACCAGTCCTGTGTTTGTCTGTGTCTCTTTCCGGTCCCAAACCCAGCCGGTGGAGGCCGATGGCCGCCTGTCCTGAGCCTGGTTCTGCTGGAGGTTTCTTCCTGTCAAWAGGGAGTTTTTCCTCTCCACCCTTTGCTCAGGATGGAGACTGTGATGAAGCAAAGATTTGGCGCAATCTGCTGGCTTCTTTAGATTGATTGTTTTTTGTTTTTGTTTTTGTGTACAGTGCCCTGAGACAACAGTTGTTGTGACTTGACGCTATATAAATAAACTGAATTGAATTTTTCTAATTAAAGGGTCTGTACGTACATGCAGTGAATTTGTGTGAGATATGTTAGTAATGCTACAAACTGACAAAAACATGATAAACAGGATTAAACATCTTACAAAGTCTCCAGAAGACCTGTTCTATTTTCTTCTTCCAGTTTTTAACCAACCTTTGACCATTTGTTTGTCTCACCAGGTTTCCTTGTCCAGTCAGAGGCTGTTGGTGTTCCTCCCTCCTCCACATGTGATGCTCAGATCTGGACTTTAATGAYGCAGGAGCCTTTGTTTCTGGAGGCTGCAGCTGCAGACAGCCATAGCCGTTAACAAACAAGATCCAGTATTCAGTCTGAACAAAGCTCAAAGATGTTTTGAAGCCAACAGCTGGTTTCTGCTCCTCACCCTGAGTCTGAGTGCATTGAAGCGTGTTCTGGACGAGCAGCTGAGCGGACCCTCAGCCACCATTTCCACAGGGTAAAGCAGACTGTGGCTGTGGGCCCTCAGGGGACATTTGACTTGTAGTGTTGACTGGCTCACTGAACTGGGACCATTATTCACTAGCTGTTAGAGAGTACTTTCAGTTACTCCAACAGGAACAGCTCAGTTCAAACCTGAACATGTTGTCTTTTTAATCATCAGATAAAAAATCTACCTCAAAAACCTGCTGAAGCTCTGGACCAACATCTTGTTCCTCTGYCAGACTCTGATGAACCGTAAAGTTGGGTGGAGGGAAGATGATTTCATTGGGCCGAGAAACACTAGAGGTGGATTCACACAGCTACATCAGCTACAGTCAGAGTGATTAACATCATGTCAGGTCAAAAGTGATGCAGTCCACTCACCCCTGCAGGATGACATCAGCCATGGCAGCCACCTCCAGCTCATACAGCACCACTTCACTCTCTGAGTTATTAGCATTTTTACTACAAAACACACAGAAAGGTAAAACATGCACATTTATCAATCTGGTCATGTTTACAGTGACAGCTGTCAACAGAACCAGGACTGTAAATGATGCAACATTTCAGGGTAACGCTCCATTCTCCTTCTTTCACACTCACTCAGTGTTTATAAAGAAGTCAGTTTATTTTGACCATGACTGGTGTATTATTGCAATAAAAGCTTAAAGCATCCATCCARCATGAATCCTTTTCAAGTTTCCAGCAGCTGTTGCTGCAGTGTTTCTGTGCAGTCATGGTGCAGGGTGCAGCTGTATAACAGTGTCAGAGAGCTTCATGTAGTGTATTTTCATTAACCCTGTGATGATATTAGTCTGTAAACACATCCCAGCCAACAGCACTGCACTGACATACCTCTGGATTTGGAGCTCAAACTGGACAGAACTCTGAGAATCCTCCAGTCTTGGTACGGTGAACCGAAGGCCAGCCCATACCTGTATACAAAAAATTTAAAAAAAATTCACATATTTTAGTATAAAAAATAAACTTTTTTTAGGACTACTGGCAGAGTTTAAAAACATTAAAAGGCTTTTCTGTGAATAAATGTCAGCCTCATGTTTTATTTTGTCACAGTTTACTTGTTTGTGGATAAATCTCTTCTGCTGACAAGATTTATYGACTGATCCAAAGACAAACAGTCTGGTTCTTACGCTGGTACTGGGCTTTAAGGGGTTTCCCAGATCACACAGAACATAGCGGGTCTGATTATCGGCTTCATAGCTGCACGTTAGCTGAGTCAAGCTCTGCAAAAGAAACACARGCATCAAATCCAAACAGCTTTAAGACTGAACTTAGAGAAGGAAACAATTTCAAACAATCTGCTGCACTCCTAATAAAAAACATCAGTTTATGCTGAGTCAGAAAATAATTTCTTTCTTTTGTTTTTTTTTCTGCTTGGCCTTCAGAGGAGTCGGACGCTTTTTGCTCTCTCTCCCGAACCTGTCCCTCCTTCCTGCTTTGCAGCTTTTTCAAGCCTTTCTTCTACCTGTCATCCAAAATCAAAAGGAATTATGGATTTTTTCAACTGGTCTCTAAACGCAATCRACACTATTTTTTCCACACTGAGATTGGAGCGAAGGGAGCGCARCTGTCCCAGTGGAATGGTTGCGGCTGGTTGGGTCACTGCTTCTTGGGGGTGGAATGTGATCTGTTTGGCCCCACTTTCCATTGAAGACGTGGAAGATTTGTACATRTTTGGATTTATGATAACTGGATTCCTGCTGATCAGCTGTGGAGGAGTTCTGGCTTATCGGAAAATGAGAGCAATCCTGACAGCAGTCCRGGCCTGTGAGAAACTGTCAGGATCCTTGAAGAGTATCTTGCGTACTGGAAACGCACAGACTCACTTGTTGGGGGATATAAGTCGCAAACTGGATGTGATTCTGACRAGAATCACAGCTCAGCAGCGTGMCCATGAGATGTAGGATTACACCTGGGTGAAGTTTCAGATGGAAAGAGAGGCGAGGAGGTGATGAATTCAGAATTGGCATTTTCGCCATCACAGAGATGCAGTTAAAGACTTAAAGCAGCAAGAAAATCAAGGCTGCTTGTCCCAAAACAATTATRTTTATCTTTTGGATCCCTACAGCTGCTGACCTTGGCTYGGMAGTTATCAAAACTTCCCTGGATGACACRTGACGCAAAGGCTTGACTCCCCATTCCCTTCCCCGTATCATCCGTGGATGGACCAGTCTGAAGGCCGCGATGGATGGAGACAGAGAACTGACCCTGGTGGTTTGTGCTTGGGTTGATAACAACTTGTTTTGGACTCTGGAGGTCTTTGATTGGTTCCAGAACGGAGTATTAACCTGAAACGTCACCGGCTCCGCTGCATCCCACCCCATACCCTGTGTTTGACCCCCAGCCCCCTCCCCTCCTTAGCTGTCTTGCACTGAGCGAGTGGGGTTTTTTTTTGTACGTATTATTATGGGTTTATGTGTAAACATAGGATCAGAGCATCTTTTTTTACTGACCTCTCCTATTGTTTCTTTGTTTCCTAAGCTGCAAAAGGTAGCGCAACYGTCATTGCGAAAGACCTGAACATCTTTTCCCCCATGTTTGTTATGTGTGTCTTTCTCCGAAYRGATGTTCTAAACTGCAATTTTGTTCTGCACTGCATCTYTGATGCTGTGTGTGAATGACAATAAAGCTGATTCTGATTCTTTTTATTCCCTGCTAAATATGTGGAGTCATTCTGTCTTCCTCACCATGTTGCTGCGAGCTATCCCACTGTAGTCAGCCTCAGGGGGCAGCGCCACGTAGAGCTCAGCCTCATAAGCTCCGCCCTCTCCCTCGTTCCTGGCATTAAAGGTCAAGCTCAGGGTGTTCTCATCGCCCAGGTAAACCTCAGCTCTGTCACTGAGGAAAGAAAAGTAGAACAGTGCTTCTTCTGAACATGGTTCATGAGTTATAAACTCATTCAGTCAACAACAGGATTTCTGAAACAGACACACACACACACACACACACACACACACACACACACACACACACACA